TATAAGGAAGATAGATAAAAAAAATTTTCTTTCATAATTTAATAAAAAAGATTGGAAATGCAAAAAAAAATTGCACTCATTATTTTCTTCTTATTTTCACGCTCACTTAAATAAAAATAGTATTTCAAAACATCCCGATTATTTGGCAAATTCAATTCACTAAATTCGCTTGGAACGCCAAAAGCACTAAAATTCTGAATGGGCCGAAAACTTGGGCCAGGAAAATTTTCCGAGTCATTAGAATCGATGGACATTTCCAATAAATCCATTATTAAATTTTCAAAACTTTGTAAATCACTGATGAATAAAAATTATAAGTAAAGGCACAAAAATTAATTAGAACAAGGATAGGAAGTGCATGTGAAAATATTTATACCGAAGCGAAAGTCATTGCCTACTATGATTCTTATCAGCAGTTTGAGAGTGCACAAAACAATGGACAAAACATTTTACATAAGTGTTGTTGTCGACGCGCACCTTGTTTTGAGCAAAGCTGAGGTAACGGTATCTTACGCACTTAAACGAAAAAAAACGCCAATATACAAGAGAACAATTTGATGAGATAAACTGGATTAGAGGTCATGTTTTTTTTCTGTTTTAAGAAGTTTGTTTTGCCTATTTTATTACAAAAAAAATAAAACTATTTTTTTTTTTATTCTTTGTTTTATGCAAAACGCAGTTTAGGTGAAACGTGTTCTAACTATTTTTTATATAGAACGCAAATCAGAGGAGATACAAATTGGGGTTCAACTGCTTTTTTGATAATTGAATATTTTGATTAGTCTCAAAACAAAACCTGTATTGCATAAACTATAATATAATATAATAAAACATAATGGCCCGTAGTCATAGTCAAAATAAAGTCGACTTTAAAGTTAGTTGCAGCTTTTTGACATAATTTTCAATGGGATATCTGTCCAAAAAGCTGCAACTAACTTTAAAGTCGACTTTATTTTGACTATGACTACGGGCCAATATATTTCAAAAAAAGAAAATAATTTTAGCGAAAGAAGAGGAAAAACATTTTCAAGTCGAGAGGCGCGGATTAGGGTTTGATTTTAGACCCATGGTTTCTTCAGAGAATTTTCTTAGAATTTAATGTAGATTACGTTTTTGCTATACGATTTTTAATTTTTTTTTTCATCCATACAAATCAACCCGCCCTAATGCACAGCATTTTAAAATACACCTCTTGTCCTTTCACAAGCCGCACAGTGTGCTTTTTGAACACTGCACGCGAATTAATCGTAGCGCTTTCGACAGAAGCAGCATTTTGATACGAAACAAAATGGTTTTGAAAGCTAAAGTAAATCCCTTTCAATTGCGTAAAATGTCGAATGAAATTCCGAAGTTTAACTTTAGGATCGTAATAATTTAGCTCTCAAAGGGCCTAGGGACTTCTACCTTGGCTTAAATTAAAGGTCTTGAATAGCACTAAAACTGACTTGTTGTTCGCGGGATAAAAATTGTGTGAAGGACGCACAGCTGTATGTAAAAAAAAATATTCAATATAGTTATAATGTATTTTTCAAATTGAGGGGTTGAAATTTTTTTCGTTTCAGGTAGTGGATGAAATTCATTCATTTTATTCGCGTATTATTTTTTTCATTTATTTTCGTTATTAACCGACTTCCAAAAAAGGAGGAGATAAATAGTAATAGAGCTACATACAAATTTTGAGAGTGCTCTTCTATTACGAAGCTCGTAAATTTACGAGCTTTACGAAATTTACGAGGCTTTTACGAGTTTAAGGGAAGACCCCTACAATTTATAAAATGTATCTTAACAAACCTGAAGTCAATTTTCAAAAACCCAAAATAGCGAATACAATACGGCGTCCAAGAATTTAAAAATTAACGTATTTTCTTGAATTTAAAAATTGCTGAATTTTCATGAAATTCGGAATTTAGAGGCTCTTAAGTTCGCTCATTACAAATTTCAAAGTAGGTTTTGCAAATTCAAAATGTAAAATCCAACGTGACGTCCAACATTTAAATACATTATTGAATTTCAAATCTGAATAACTTCATTTCAAGATTGAAGTTTTGGAAACTGCGAATTTCGTATAAAGTGAATAAAAAATAAACTAGGGAGCTATGTACGTCAAAGTGTTTGGGCTCGACTTAAGCACACGGTCACAAATATCCCCCATTTATAAATGTAATTACTGATGATGATATAGAACTCAAAATCAGTGAGCCTAGGACTTACCATTGATTTGTGGCAATTTTTTTTCTTTTTTTTGTCAATGTTATTGTGGCTTGTTAACATTTTTTTTTTATTTTTAATATTTTTATTGAGCTTTGTACCACGATTGTTTATTAGGAAAAATTGAAAAAGCAACAAAGTCTAAGCGGTAGAAGTTTTTTTTTTGTTGAAGGTGTCGCTCAATTTCTACATATAAAATAATTTTCTCCATATACAATAATTTTCAATAATTTTTTTATATGGAAAAAATGAGCGACACCTTCAACAAAAAAAATTTCCAAAATCAATGGTAAGTCCCAGCTAACTCAGACTTGCACTTTGTTATACTAAAATTGAGTTGCTAAAAAACTGCATACTCAACTTTTTTCTAAAGAGTGTAAATAAAAAGCAAGAGACTTAGAGAAAGCGGAGAAGACTCTGCTCGAGAGTATCATAAAACATTTTTTCTGAATTTTTAATTTTTAAAATAATATCTTCTTAATTTATTACAACCAAAGTTATGTAAAGATTAATAATTTGCCTTCAAAACTAACCAAAATATAAAAATTCCAAAAAGTTCGAAAATTTATGTTATTTTAATAGGCTAGATTGCAATGTCCGCAACTGTATGTTGAAAATGCAAATGTCATTTAACTATTGGCAATGTGAATTTGTGATTGCCACACCCAACAAATTGTGTTTATTGATCAATATTATTGATGATTTAACAAGATTGAACTTAAACCTACTGTACCCAAAAGTTTTAAATATTTGGATGAATTGTTAGTTTGTTGAATTTTTTTAAGTTTTGTACCAAGTTTGAAACGTGAATTTATGTGGTGCTAAAATTAAAATTCAACTTTATTCCTCTCAATTGCATTTATGAATCATTATTTATTCACTTTTCGCAGTTGCGGCAACCCTGCAACAAAACCACTTCACTGAACGTTTTCGCCTCTCCACGAAAGGCGACACAAAACAAATGCGTGGAACAGAGGACGGAAGGGAAACCATGAAAATGAAACAAATTACAATCGGGGGAACAAACTTGGGAAAATTAATTTGCGCCAAAAAAATTTTATCAACTCTGGAACAAATGCGCATGAAACAAATTTCATTGAGGTTAGGTAGTCCCTATGCGTACAAACAGATATTTGAGATACTAAAGAGTAGATAAGGTTCCTTGCGCAAAACAAACCAACAGGAAATGAAGCAAAACATCATGGCATGGCAGGTGTAAACGTAAAATATAAATCATTTGCAAAATGGAAACGAATGAGAAATTAAACGAAACAAAAATAAAAACAAGAAGAACATTCAAAAAGGGAAGAAAAAATAACTTGCGCTGCCACACATGTATGCACGTGTGTGTGTGTGTGTTTAACTGCGTTAATTATTTGCAGCGTTGCCGTTTAAAGGAAACCAAAGCCACCAAAGAGTTGCCAGTCTATTCTTATTTGGAAGATTGGACAATAAAAACTTTGCGTGGCATTAGCAATGATACGAATTTTTACTTGTACATGCTTGCAACTTTTTACTAGTTTTGCTTACTTCGACGTTACACAACCAAAAACTTGCATCCAAGTCCCAAACACTCAAACTGATGCCAGATAAGACGCTTGCTTTGCTTTGTGTGACAGATTCGCTTCGACAGATAAGATGAATTGTATGAAAATCGATCAGATCGTTGCACCTACAGCGCGAAGCGAAAAGATGGCCAACAACCATCTTTTTGCGCGCGTTTTGACAATCAGCCGGTTTAATATTTATTTTGATTCGTTTAAATTTGATTTTTCATGCAGAAGCATAAAATTTAATTACATTGCTGATATTTTTAAAGCTAAACATATAAAATCCACTGCAATTTTGACGAGTAAACAAGCAGTACAAAATTGTTTTCTTAGGCTATCTGCACACTGGTCGTCCAATCATAGTTGCGTTATCGTCTCGCCCTGAAATTTTGGGCCGAGCACATGCATTTCAAAGGAGATCTGCACACTTGTCGTTATCGGCTAGTTATCGGCAAATCGTAGAAGATGCAGAAACGGATAAGTACGGCACTGTCGTTTGCTAATCGTTGTGCACGCATTGTTTGTTTACATTTTATGGGGAAAAATTATTGAAAAAGTTAATATTTGCATTAAAATTGCATAAAAATTAGTGTCTTTGGTATAAAATTTTTCGAAATTCTTAAAAAGTGGATAATTGCAATAAAATTCAATAAATGTGAGCGTTTTAACTATAAAACATAACGAAATTGTAAAAAGTTTCTGCGTGCATGCACAAAATACATTTCAGGAAAAGAAAAGAAGAGATATTACTGAAAAATTATGTCTAAAATTGTTGCAGCACAGTCCATATTTTAAAAATTGCCGGTTTTTGTAAATATTTCGCTAAAATATCAACCAGAAAAACAGAAAATACCTGCTCTAAGTCAATTTTTAGACGCCAAATGAATTTAAATATCACGACCGAGTGTGCGAAAATGTAGTCGTCAAGTAATCGTTGCGTCATGATTGTGACGATGAAGTAACTATGACTGGAGGACCAATGTGCAGAAAGCCTTAGCGTTCATTCAACAGTCGCGTCTACCAGAAATGCAGTAAATACTTGATAAATCTCTAAATAAATCACACCTTATATGAAGTAGAAATTGGTTTATTAAATTCAGATATATTTATGTACGTATATAACTTGATTGCTATATACAAATGTAATTACACTCACCTTGATGACACTCAACTCAATTAAAATTCACACAGCATAATTCTAAACAGCTGGCAGCCCCGCTCGGGTCGTGCGAATTGCGATTACGTCCAAGAAACAAGTCAAAAGAAACAGAAGCCAACGGCAGTGGAAAAGCGTGTAAAGTGCAGATAATTTTTCAATTTGTATTTTAGTGTAAAAGACCTTTTTCAAAGCAATTCAAAAAGTACTGTGGAGCCCATCCAGCGGCAGGAAAATTCAGAAACAAGCAGCATTTGGGTATTTATCCTAAACGGTTCGTTTGGAAAGAATTAGTCCAAATTGTGTTGCTGAAAAATAGCGGTGTTGCTTTAAGTTTAATACAGGTAAGAAAAGTGTGTGTTCATAAAATAAGTGAAATATTACGTTAACGCAAAATTCGCAATAGAAGGCAGCGCATAAAGGCGAAAGAGAAAGAGCAGAAGACGACGACGAGCAGAACAGGAGGAATCGCAAACCAATGCTATTGCAACAACACCAACAACTACAGTAACAGCAACAGCAACAGCGGTCGACAACTGCTTTTGGTGCTTTTTGCATTTTGTTTTATTGGCGCATACACCCGTCTTGGTAGTTAACGCAACGCGCGTGTGTTTGTGTGGGGGAGAAAACAACTATAGGAAAGGAGCACAACATTCAGATTTTCAAGTCGACTACTGCACGGTGTGACACTGCTTGCATTGAAATCTATATTTGTGAAAACAAGAAAAAATAGCCAACAGGACAAGAAGCTGCGACTGAACAAAGTGTCGCGCAAGTTTTTCGTACGTGCAAAGTGTGAAATTTTACCACTGAAAAAGTTGTAACTGCATCAGCAGCTGAGAACTAGTGAAAAAATAAGCCTAGTGCACCAGGAAAAAATGGAAAAGAGAATAGAACTGGAAAGACGCGCTCGGAAGGCGAATCAGGTAAGCATTTTCCATTTTTAAATTTATCGTATCGTAACTTTTGGAATAATATTTCACGCGGTAATTTGCTCTTAGCCCATTTGTTGGTGTATTCATTTCCAACCTAATATTTTGCTTTGGCAAAGGAACGCCAGCGAATTATGGTGCGCTAGAATTTACTTTTGCCGCCCTCCCTTTGTCAGCCCGTCATGGCATTCCCATTTGACCGTAGCAACGCATTGCCTGCTCTGTAGTATATAGCAGGTTGCCAAAGGGTCAGGTGCTACATACCTTCAAAATGAGGCACATGGTACAATACAGCAGCGATTTTCATCAAAGCGATCAAGTTTTGATAAAGAAAATGTTTTAATTTGTCGCAAATTTATCCGCCATGAGTGCGCGTTGGACATACAAATATACACGCGTGTAGAACCCCAAACGTACACACGTGCAGATATGTATACGCGCGGGCGCATACACATAAACATACAGGGCGAACCGTGTGTAGGCATATGTACCTTTTAGCAGTAACAACGCAGTAGGCCATTCGAGGGTTGCCAATGTACTATTTAATAGTGTATAGCCATCTTATCTTGAAAATGAAGATTTTTTGGGCTGTTTTTATTAAAAATCTTCAAAAAAAGATTTTTTAAGAAGCAAAATTTTACACTGAAAATATCTTCAAAATTAAGATTTTTCTGTATGATGTACGATTTTTAAAGTTTAAGTTAAAATTGTTAACTTATTTATATTATCCTTGCTACATCATTGTAAGCAGAAAATGAAGGAAGAAGAAACATGAAATATGAAATCCCCTTCACTATTGTCTGCCTTCTTCTCTCGCACAAAAAAAAAAAAAACATACTATAGTGCAGAGTTATAGAGCGGAGGAAAAGAACAAACGGTCTTTTGTACCCCCTCTAGTTTTAAAGCTCAAAATTGTTATAGAACTTTGTCGAATTTTCTTAACTTTTGTACAAAGATTTAAGTTTGGACTTACGTGGTTTTTGATAGATAACGGTCTATTCTTTCATAAAAAAAGAACAAGTAATTTTTAAACAAAAAACACAAGCGACTTCAATTCTCATATAAAAATTGATCGTCAATTTCTTCAAAATCCAATGACCGGATCTAAACCAAATTAGTAAGGGGCCACCCTTGAAAAAAACGAATTAACGAAATCGGTTCACGCGGTCCAAAGTTATGCGGTAACATGAATATGTACATACATAAAAAAAATATTCGCCCGAATTGATAACCTCCTCCTTTTTTTGAAGTCGGTCAAAACTTGCAAAATGTCGCTCCCAGTTTATATAAAATAAAAAAGGATCGAAAAGATTTTTTTTAGCTTTAAAATCTTATTTTGAAATTTTTTTTGGATAAAATTAAGATTTTTAGGGGACTTTCTCTGGCAACACTGCATGGCATATCGTGGACTTAGAGTGAAAAGTTGCGAAGTCCATTTTTAAATGTATTTTACAAAATTTTAATACAATATTTTGCGTGCTTAAAATGTAGCAAAACTCCAAAAAAATCAGGAGTTGGTGTTAAGTAAAAGACTCCATACCTATTGTTTTGACCCTATCGAATATTCTTTTCCTCTTTTGGACTTAACAAATTCGCCTTTCAGCGGAGAAATAAAACCAGTACATACCTTAGTCATTTTGGAAACTAAGCATTTTTAATTTCTCCTTTGTCTTATGCCAAAATATGAGTTTTCACAAAAAGTAGACTTAGCAACTTTTCGCTCTAAGCCAACAGTATACCATATTTTTTTTTTAATGAGATGTTAGTAGCGATAACAGCATTCATGATCATTTATGTATGTAGTGTAAAAGCTGGCAAACTGCACGAAATTCCGTTGAGATTTTTTTAAAACCATACCAGTTGCTAAAGGCACGTCTCAGCGAATAGATTTCTTCTTAACCAATTGGCGTCGGTTGGCACAGAAAAGAAACGACTGGTGTGCTTTGTTCAACTCGGCCAAAATCTCTTAGGTGATTACAGCGCCAAATAAGAAGAAGAAAAGCATTAGACAAAGTCAAAACAAGCTAATATAAGGGAGGTAAAAAAATGCCAAGTGACGCGAAGTCCTTCTCTAAAAATCGCATTCTCCTCATTTTAAACTTAGGGTCTGGCTGACTTATAGCAAAGTACTTTTTAGGTGCCGAGCCCTCCCATCCCGACGATTTTCAACTGGGTCACGTGGGTCGCGATATCTTTTATTAAAGAAAATCAATATGGCTTTGATATTTATTTTAACAAAATATTCCGACGAATTTATAGCCTCCTCCTTTTTTGAAGTCAGATGGTAATTTACTTGAATATGTTTCTCGAATATTCTACGTTCAAGGTTTTTCGGAATTTTGTTTTTTTTTTTTTATAGTTTAATTTTAAAGACCTTCCCGATACCGTCCATCACAGCAATTTCAAAATTAGTACCGTGAGTTCCCCGCCTGTATCTGCAAGGCAAATGAAAAATTTTACAGCAAATATTAAACGATGGTTTTACTGCTTTTTTAATTTTATTGCTCAAACCTCTCAGCAGATGATTTCAGGAGCTGTAAGCCCTTCCAGTAGGTCTTCCTGAGAGTCAAGAGGCAGAAGGATTTGTAGGACGTAATCCAAAAGGCCGTTTGAAGGAACGGAAAAACCTAGAACCCTTCTGATGTCCTGTCACCATCGCATACACTTACTTTTGGCGTCTAAATGTCATAAATCTAACCGAATGCAGCAAAACAAAAAAAAAAACAAAAGCGCATTGCGATATTAACTTGCTACGTTTAATGGAGAATTTGGGAGAAACTTCTATGTACATACTATATGTATGTATATACATACATATCGTTACCTTAATTTACAAAGGCCCTAACCATGGGCGTAGCCAGGTAGGGGCAGGGGGTGCTCGCCCCCCCCCCCCCCCCTAACTTTCAAATTTTCCTTATATATATATAAAATAGTACCCTGAAATGCCAGCTTAATAGGGTCGAGCCCCCCTAAATTTCATTTTGGCTACGCCGATGGCCCTAACCAACAATTTCTTAACGACAAGCTTTTATTAGCGATAAATAAAAAAAATCTACCACGCTGCATCTAACGGCTAAATTGTTTGAGGAGTTATTTATTTCCATTTAAGTAATATGCGTTCTAAATAAGAAACCAATCGGACCGTAAAAACGGGCTTTCCAAATATCTTGACTACTACGCCATCCAGCGAATTAATTCATCCTTCATATTGCATTGCCATCGGGTTGTGAACTAAGTTTAAAGTTTCAGGTGTCTAGCTCATCGCGAAGTTGGTTAAAAGTTGATGGCAAGATTTCATTACACACAGATGAAACATAATAAAAGCTTGTAAAAAGGTATCAAAAACAGGTAGGGCTTTTAAAAAAGTGGCATGTAACTCCGTTGTTTTTGGTACTAACACTTAGGCTGCATTTCTTTATTCATTTTGAACGTTTGTAATTAACTTTTTTGTTTACTTATTCTTTAGAACGTTCCTGATGATATGTTAACGTATATTTCGAACGCAGCCTTAAAATTTTTATGGAATGTGTACCTTAATAACTCCTACTAAAATCTGTGAAAAACGCAGTTTCGAAAAAAAGTTTTGGCTAGGGCCTTTGTGAATTAAGTTAGCGATGTGTAATTTTGAATGCAATATATCGAATCTAAGTTAGCCTCAATGCATTTGTCTCATATTTTTCATTCGTGTTTTTTCCCCAAACCAAATTAATTGTGTAGCTAAATACAGAGGAATGTATGTGCAAAGGTTCGTTACAACCGGAAAGTCCGACCTAACATACCCTAACCCGACAACCCTAACGGCCTTGTCCCTGTGGACAGATCCCACAGAAGCTGCACGCTTCCTAGGGTTGCCGTTAGTGGAACTTGACGACAACGACTGAGATACCAACCGATCTGGGCGGGCTTGTTGTAGCCGCTACAACAACAACAACAACAACAACCTAACATACATACATACATACTTACTACCCAACAAACATTTAGGTTATATTACATTTACATTGGACCAAAATGCGTGATTTGAAATCAGTCATTTGAAGGTGTTTACACTGCTTGATCCGCATTTGCTTTGACTTCTCATCAAATGAAAAGGGAAGACAAAAACAAAATGTATGTAAACAAACACTACATTTATTATATTGTTAACGCTTTTTGGACACAAAAAGGCAATTATTCTTTGATTAAACTAAAAATGTGTAAAGCTCTTGTATAAATTAACAATTTTTACACACAAATTTCAAAGATTTATTTATTTCGTTGTGTTTGTTTTGTGTTTGAAAAATTCCAAATGTCAAAGACAAACCAAAGCTTTTGTGGAACTTTTGTTTCTGAGTGCGTTCAATAAAATAGT